CTGCAAGTTATGGGCAATTTGCGCGAAGCAATCCGCCAGAAACGCCCGGATTTGTGAAAGAACAAAAATTGGCTTTTGCACCATGATAACGCCCCGTTAATAACCAGTTGCTTGTGCGCGAATTTTTGACCAAAAAAAACACACTAATGATACTGCAGCCATCGTATTCCCCAGATCTGGCCCCCTGTGACTTTTTCTTGTTCCCGAAACTGAAGAGGCCCATAAAAGGACGACGCTACGCTACGATTGAGGAGATAAAGACGGCATCGAAGGAGCTGAACAAGATCATAAAAAATAATTTTTTGAAGTGCTTCGAGGATTGGAAAAAACGTTGGCACAAGTGTATAATATCTGATGGAGATTACTTTGAAAGGGACAAAATAGATATTCATGAATAAATAAATAATTTTTGAAAAAACACAAAATTCGCGATACTTTTTGAACAGACCTCGTATATAATTATATAGTTATAAAAAATTATAACTATATATAGTTTTGAATTGTAATAAATGGTAATTATTCTGATTGTTTCAGGGAATGTTCAACAAATTCTTAAGTGTCTGACCGCTGGTCTTTTTCCTAAAGCAGCGTATCTGCATTATACAGGCACATATAGAACGGTTCGGGGGAACAAGGATTTGTACATTCATCCAAATAGTTGCTTATATACTCTAAAGCAGCCGCAATGGTAAATATAAAAAAAATTTTTAATTAAAATTTTACAATTTGTGTGTGCATTGAGGGTGGAAGGGGTTAAAGAAAACAAAAAAAGTCTTATACCATTTTAAGATATTCGCTGCAGTTTTCAAATTAAAATGTTTAAAACCCAATCGTACCAACGTTACTTTTAAGCGAGGCTAAAACTCTCTCCCTTTCTATCTCTCTATCAGCTTTAAAAAAAAAAAGAGAAAATGTTAAGCTTCGCTTAAAATCAAACTAACTTTGCAAATGGGGGCCTAAGGGTCTTTTTCACCTCGGTTAAGCTCGTTAATCTCGATTACTTGATAGTTAAATGAGGCTCAGTTCCACAACTGACGGTTAACTCATAACTGAGGTTCAACTTATTCATTGTCTCTTTCCAATTTTAGAATTGGAAAAAGATGAGAAACAAATTGAGGTTAAGAGTTAATCATGAGTTGTGAAACACACTGGGCCTGAACAAGCTTCATGTAAGTCGGTTAGCTTAATCGAGATTGATGAAAGAGACCCTAAGCCAATGTGCGGTGACGCAGCGCCAGGCAAATTCGTTTCACGCCGCACGGCCCATTGCTCCTCAGTCGGCTATCGACCGGTCGACGGTGGTCAACAGCAATGAGGACGGATGACACATCGCTGCCTGACATGGCGGCGATATGTGTTTCGCCACATCGCGCCTACACTATCCAAGAATGTTATTTTAGCTCGTTTTTCTTACACATTTCTTATTATTACAAATCACATTATTTAGACTGAATTATTATGACTGAATATGTTTTACAATTAGGTTAAACGACGTAATTAATTAGAACACTATGCAAAGCGTTTGCTGATTGTCGCGATACCTTTCTGTTTGCTTTATTATGCGATGTTTCTACTTATGCTTCAAGACATACGTTGTCGAAGCTATCGCGTCGTTTTATGCTACATCTTGCGGAGGTGTCATTTTTTGACATGTTCATGCATGTACACGCAGTGATAGCCACACTACATTGTAAATATAGGTGTATTATTATTACACGTATGAATATTTAAAGAAAGAGACACAGACTTAGGTTTTTTTTACATGTTTCTTATCGTTTAATTGTTAAAAACACTGTTAAAAACACATACACACACATTTTCTTAAATTTTATTAATCTTTAACATCCATTGGTGAATAAAATTTAAATTCTCTGTAACTGAAAAGATTATTTATGTATATATTAATGAGATTTAAACAGTAACTGAAAAGTTAAGTGTATTAAGTTTATTTCTACTGATTAAGTGTATTAGTTTGTTTAAACTGTTAAACCATTAAATTTAATACTCTTGTTCATTACATTAAAAAAATCTATAACTTAAATTTCATTTACATCACTGATTACTTTTCAGTTACATACATTTCTTATATTTCATTAATGCGTAAATTAATTTATCGAAACACATAAAATTACCATGCCAAGCAGCGATGCATTATCTTTCCCCTCGTTGCGTGCCGCTGCCGTTGACTGGGCGCGAATCGTAATTCGCGAATCTGTGCTACGAATTCAAGTAACGCGGTGTCGCCGCCCATTAGCTTGGACGTTCGATTTTTTAATTTGAAAACAGCGAATATCTCAAAATGGTACAAGACTTATTCTCCTAGACCTCTTCTACATTCCCAATCTTATCCCATTTCTGGAACACTATATATAATTTCATTTTAGGTTACTATTTTGTGAAATTTTGCAAACAAACAAAACTTATATGAAGGACTTGACTGTCATTCAACCAGAAATGTTATTAGACGCAGCACCTCATTTTTACGAGAGAACGTCTCTTGAATTTGTTTAAAATTAATAATTGTAGAATAAAAATTTTATAACTATAATGCTCGAAATTTTGACTCAATCTCTCTCTCCCCCCAGAAGTCACTCCTCGCTAGAGTCCCTATAAAGCCCAATATCCACGATACTAGGAATCAGTCTGAGATCTCGGACAGAGAAAAAATTAACAAATCACATTTGAACAATTTGATTACATGACTATTGCGATTGGTCAATTCTTTCTTCATCCGAGGTCTCGGACTGATTTTTAGCATCGTGAATACAAGGCTTAAGAGAGTCGCGTCAATGAGTGCATCCAAAAGCACGATCGCTCACTGAGCGCTCAGAATGTAAGAATCAACCAACTACAGTCAAGTATTCCCCTGTTACAGTCGAACGACAAGGAAATGCTCGACTGTAGTTGATTGATTTTTAGGATGCCGTCTCATGTACACGAAATTGGAAAGACGGATTTCTTACTAGAAAATTGAGTTTACTGTAAATTCCATTCCGTAAGAAATTTCTCTACCCGTCCCGTGTAGACGGAACGGAATGGAAACAGACGGAATGTCGCCTCGGTTGCAAACTATTAGGTTGTTCGGAAAGTAATTTCGTTTTTTCTTATGAAAATGAAAGACGATTTTCAATCAGACGCGTTTCAAATGATCATGAACGGTCGAATTCGATAAATTTAATCTCTCAGCGATCTCACGAGTTGTTATTCGCCGGTTTGCATCAATTAATGCCTTTATTGTGTCTTCATCAACTTCAACTGGCCTTCCAGAACGTGGTGCATCTTCAACATCAAAATTGCCGGATCGAAATTTTGCAAACCAGTTTTGGCACTGGCGTTCTGTCGATACATCTTCTCCATACACATCGGATAATTTTTTTCTTGCTTGAACAGCATTTTTACCTTTTCGGTAGTAAAAAAGTAAAATATGCCGAAAATGCTGCTTTTCACATTTGATAGGGCACCAACGAAAAACTACTGCGTAGAATCAATCGAACTTTTTTCACAAGCAAGCCTTGCTATATCAGCTGTCAAAATATATAATGATTATGCGGCTTAAGTGTGAAGTTGGCTGTGAAAAAATACAATAAGTCCTCTGTTGGGAAAAAAACGAAATTACTTTCCGAACAACCTAATAATTTGCTTAATTTAGGGCCACTTTCACCAAGCTCCGATTAACTTAACAGGCCTAGTAACTTTGCAGGATTCCAACTGTAGTTGATGTCGGAGAAAAAATGCAAAGAGAAAAGTTATAAATAAAGATTTGTAATACTAACTTATGTAGCAAGGTTTCTCTCTGGTAACTGTTTGTTAATAACCTATTTTTGTGTTCAATATAGTATGTAAAATTACAGTTAATTATAATTAATGAAATATGTTTAACTCTTCAGTTCACACTTTTTCTCTGACATCAGCTTCAGTTGGAATACT